AAACAAATGGTGAAATGAATAAAAGGGAAAAACCAAACGGTGAAATTAAGTCAAAAACAGGGAAACCCAAACGGTAAAAATAATAAAAGGGAGCCCAAGCAATAAAAATTAAAACAGGGAATCCAAACGGAAAATTAATATCAGGGAAAAGACAAAACGGTATTATTAAAAAAACAGAGAAAAACTAAACGGTATAATTAAAACAAGGAACCCAAACGGAAAAAAATATTAGGGAAACCAAAATCGTCAAAATAATAACAATGCTACCCGAACAGTTAAATTAATAACAGGGAAACCAAACAGTAAAATTAATAACAGGGAACCCAAATCCTTTGTTCAATTTTAATGGCAATAAATATGTTTAAAGTAATAACAGGGAACCCAAACGGTAAAATCAATATAATGATATCCAAACAGTAAAAATAATAATAGGATAACCCAAACGGTAAAAATAATAATAGGATAACCCAAACGGTAAAAATAATAACTTGGAAACCAAACGGTAAAAATAATAACAGGGAGCCCAAACAGTAGTAGTAATAATAATAGGGAACCCGAACGATAAAAAATAATAACAGGGAGCCCAAACAGTAGTAGTAGTAATAATAGGGAACCCGAACGATAAAAAATAATAACTGGGAAACCAAACAGTAATAATAATAATAGGGAACCCGAACGATAAAAAATAATAACTGGGAAACCAAACAGTAATAATAATAATAGGGAACCCGAACGATAAAAAATAATAACTGGGAAACCAAACAGTAATAATAATAATAGGGAACCCGAACGATAAAAAATAATAACTGGGAAACCAAACAGTAATAATAATAATAGGGAACCCGAACGATAAAAAATAATAACTGGGAAACCAAACAGTAATAATAATAATAGGGAACCCGAACGATAAAAAATAATAACTGGGAAACCAAACAGTAATAATAATAATAGGGAACCCGAACGATAAAAAATAATAACTGGGAAACCAAACAGTAATAATAATAATAGGGAACCCGAACGATAAAAAATAATAACTGGGAAACCAAACAGTAATAATAATAATAGGGAACCCGAACGATAAAAAATAATAACTGGGAAACCAAACAGTAATAATAATAATAGGGAACCCGAACGATAAAAAATAATAACTGGGAAACCAAACAGTAATAATAATAATAGGGAACCCGAACGATAAAAAATAATAACTGGGAAACCAAACAGTAATAATAATAATAGGGAACCCGAACGATAAAAAATAATAACTGGGAAACCAAACAGTAATAATAATAATAGGGAACCCGAACGATAAAAAATAATAACTGGGAAACCAAACAGTAATAATAATAATAGGGAACCCGAACGATAAAAAATAATAACTGGGAAACCAAACAGTAATAATAATAATAGGGAACCCGAACGATAAAAAATAATAACTGGGAAACCAAACAGTAATAATAATAATAGGGAACCCGAACGATAAAAAATAATAACTGGGAAACCAAACAGTAATAATAATAATAGGGAACCCGAACGATAAAAAATAATAACTGGGAAACCAAACAGTAATAATAATAATAGGGAACCCGAACGATAAAAAATAATAACTGGGAAACCAAACAGTAATAATAATAATAGGGAACCCGAACGATAAAAAATAATAACTGGGAAACCAAACAGTAATAATAATAATAGGGAACCCGAACGATAAAAAATAATAACTGGGAAACCAAACAGTAATAATAATAATAGGGAACCCGAACGATAAAAAATAATAACTGGGAAACCAAACAGTAATAATAATAATAGGGAACCCGAACGATAAAAAATAATAACTGGGAAACCAAACAGTAATAATAATAATAGGGAACCCGAACGATAAAAAATAATAACTGGGAAACCAAACAGTAATAATAATAATAGGGAACCCGAACGATAAAAAATAATAACTGGGAAACCAAACAGTAATAATAATAATAGGGAACCCGAACGATAAAAAATAATAACTGGGAAACCAAACAGTAATAATAATAATAGGGAACCCGAACGATAAAAAATAATAACTGGGAAACCAAACAGTAATAATAATAATAGGGAACCCGAACGATAAAAAATAATAACTGGGAAACCAAACAGTAAAATTAATTAGTAACAGGTAAAAACCAAACGTTAAAAATAATAATAGGGAACCCAAACGGTAAAATTAATATCATGGAATCCAAACAGTAAAAATAATAATAGGATAACCCAAACGGTAAAAAAATAATAACTGGGAACCCAAACAGTAGTAGTAATAACAATAGGGAACCCGAATGATAAAAAATAATAAAAGGAACCCAAACGGTAAAAATAACAACAGGGAATCCAAACGATAAAATTAATAATAGGTAAACCTAACAATAAAACTAGAAATAGGGAAACCAAAAAATAAAAAAATAATAACAGGGAAACCTCAACGGTAACAATAATAACAGGGAAACCAAACAGAAACAATAATTATAGGGAAACCAAACAGTAAAAATAATGACAGGGAACCCAAACGGTAAAATAACTAACAGGGAACCCAAACAGTAAAATTACTTAATAACAGGGCAAAACAAATGGTAAAATTAATGACAGGGAACCCAAACGGTAAAATTAATGACAGGGAACCCAAACGGTAAAATTAATGACAGGGAACACAAACGGTAAAATTAATTACAGGGAACACAAACGGTAAAATTAATGACAGGGAACACAAACGGTAAAATTAAT